TACATCTAAGGACCTTACACCCAAGATTCCACATTAACTGTCTTTGATGCCCTGGCATGGGCATGACGGCTCAAGACCAAAAGGACAGTCAGGACAGGATAGGGTCGAGCAAGGGCACGGCCTTCAACATCGTCCGTCCGTCCCTCCATCCACACATCCATGATTTTGGGACCCGTTGGCGGGTACATTATCGCCAATGTCCCCCGGGAGTCCCTCGTTGTTGTAACATTGAAGCTACTGTACCAGACGAACGAGCCCCCATATCCGTATCCATATCCATACCATACCCATAGTTCATCTACCTTACCTCACTTCACATAACCTTGCTCCTCTCGTCTTTGCTCGCTCGCTCGCTCGCTTTGTCTCCCGTCAATCGTCCGTTTAATCTACTCAATTTGGTGTTGGCACCACCTTGTCGGCATTTCCGCCTCGTTGCTCGTGCCTCTTCCGTCGTCTATCTCCCAGGCCCGTTGCTGCAAGCCTCATCCCGGCCCTCCTCATCCCGGCTTGCCGTTTGACAGTCCTTCCTTGCAAACGACATCATATCAGAACTCTGATCTTTGTTCTGTACCTTACATTTGAACCGCATTGCGTTGCCTTGCTTGCACTGCAACGACCGACTGAGCGTGCAACTGACACCAACACCGAAACTCTGTCACTTCGCCTGCTCCTCGCTCCCATTCTCAAGTATAAAGACCTGTGGCCCTCCTCCCTCTACTCAGCTGTTGATGAATCACGACGTCTTCCACAACAACTCTGACACATTGCCTACTCTACTACTTCAACTCTCACCTTTTACACCCATAAAGGGACGGCTCTCATCCTGTTGTTGCACTGCATTATCAACCTCTCACCGCACTCCGCCTTGAGAGCCCTGACGCTTCATACAACAGCTATCGTGTAAGTCCAAGGAAGAGCGGACATGAGGTTGCGTTCAGCATACCGCATCTTACATATCTGCTTACAACTTACATACAGCCCATGTTGGGTTGTCTGTCTGTCTCATGCATGCATGCAAGGCTAATATTGTATTCCCCCAGGAACATAGCCGCATCCAATCAGGCCATCAAATCTTGTGAGAGGGTTCAAGAGACTCTCGACAGCATCTACACCTTTACTGTACCACCCACAACACCGCCACAATTCCCGACAAAATGGCCAACGCTTGCGCCCACCAGTTCCGAATGATCAAGTCGGACAACACTCTTGTCCAGTGGATCTGCCAGCACTGTCGGTCCGGTCCTCACTGGATGATCTGGGAGTGCACCTACTGCAAGCTTCACCTATGCCGACCTTGCACGCAGTCTGCTTAACGGCTTGTGTGTACATGCGCAAGTCACTTGATGCCGAGACAGTCTTTGGCAGCCACATGCGAAAATGGGTGTGCAGCTGCTTTGTTGCGCTTTCACTTTTTGCTTCTACTTCTACTTCTGCTTCTGCAACCTCGCTCGGCACCTACTGAGATGGCCTGACTTACAAAACGTGAGAGGCTCAACCCAAGTAGAAAGTGGAAAGCTTCTCCTTCTTGGTCTCGGTGCAGATGCACAATTTGCGATCAGAGAAGATGGTCTCAGCATGGGCATTTGATTTGATTGCACTTGGCACAAGTTACTTGCTGCTACGCTACACTACAGTGCGCTACGTACTGCGGAACGGCAGCCCAGAGCTGGCTCTGGATGCACGGCTACCGAACCGTCACACACCCCCTCGCGTGCACCCATCACAGCATTTCTTTTTCACTTTCAGTTGACACACAACGTCATTTCGACTTACACTCACTGGCTTGAGAAATTTCCTATCATGTCCAGTTCAGCTGAGCTGAGCTGGGCCTCGAAGAACAACACATACGCATGCACTGGACGAGACATCAACCAACAAACAAACAACTGGGAGTACATTAGGAGCTGATACAGTGACTCAGTCGGGCTGTGTCAGTGTCTCTCCTGGGTATTCGGCCAAACGGTGGTATTTTGGGTGACTTTGACTTTTTTATTATGTACGCTTCTGCCTCTGAAGTCCATGACGGAATAGCGCCCTGCACGTTCCACGTGGGAGATTCCATTCACAGGGACCTGTGGCCCGTTTTCGGAATTGTGCAGCACTAGTCACCCCCTCCCCCTTGGCCCTTGGTCCTTGCGACTTGGAGCTCTCACTCACTAGCTCACCAAGCTCCAACGCTTCTGTCTCGGCGTCTTGTTCGCTTGTGGCCCTACCCAAGTCGACAACCCAAGCTTACAGGGCCAGGCCAGACCAGGCCAGACCAGCCTAACACTCAACGCAACGCAACGATGGGAAGACCGGACTGTTAGACGTGTCATGTTGCTGGAGCTCTCCTCCAATCTACAGTCCCAGTTACGAACTTTCCTATTTAGGAGATCTGATCTGTTACAGGTGATCCTGACTGGTCTCTTTTGATGTTGTCTCTTTTCTTCTCCTTTTCCCCCTTTTCCTTTCCGTTTTTCTCTTCCTTGTAATACCTGGCTTGTTGTTCATCGCCTGCATCAAAACGGTGTTTGTTGGTTCTTGTTTTTTTTTAATCAATCTTCTTGTTTCTTTTTCTTACTTTCGGAGGGTTTACCCCACGCTTTGGTCTTATCTCCTCAACCTACCTCCACTGCCAGAAGCAACTTTGGCTGCTGACGGTACTTTTGGGTGGGAGACAAGTCAATGGGGGAACGTCGTTATGACCTCATCTTATTGGAGCCAGCAAAACTTTCGGTTTGGCTCATGGCGCAAGGACAGAAAAACAACGATTTCTATGGATGGGACTGGTGTTTTTTTAGGGTCGGCGCTCGACATAGACTATGGCTCAAGCCAGACAGATACGGGGCGAACCAGAGGATATCAAGAGGATGAGAGGAACACACGCATCAACTTTTAGTGTATTGCTATCGTCATAAATGAAAACATTCTACTTCTAGCTTTGAATCCTTCTCTACCACTAAATACTAGCTAACTAAGTGATTGTCATCGTCATCATCATCGACGAGGTGGATGTGAAACTGAATCATGAACAAGACCTTGATTAGTAGCATCATTACCTCAGCGGGAGTTTTCCCCAGTCTCTCCATCTTATACAAGAAGCCTAGCAATTCAGTCTGATGAGCCTTGATTGGCCCGGAGTTTACGAGTAAGTTCACGACGTTAGGCACAGTAGCTGCTGACTAGTGGTACCTGCCTAGGCTGCCTTCTTATCCCCAACCCCAATGGACGGAAGGCAAGGCCCAGAAACTTGAGGTAAGAGGTGAGGTGGACATTGGACAGTGAGGAAAGAGGCCAAAGTCCTGCAATCTCCCCTCACACCTACCTTACTTTACCTACCTCAACCTACTAAAGTTACCTACGGCATTGGTTGCCCTTTCCTCTTCTATCGTCCGCCTCGGGTCTCGCTCGTATTGAGTCCCTGCCTTCTCCTCCAGTGCGTGCGTGCACCATCGTGTAGATCTCTTGTCTCATCTCATCACGATCCTACCTCTTCAACATTCTCATTACTACATCACTTTAAACTTTTCTCTCCTCTCTTAGCACCTCGCTTGGATGCTTACTTCACTTCCCTACCCTTCCCTTCTTCCCCGAGCCATTTTGACTGGATTGGACTAGGTTGCGCGGGTCAATGCGATCGCCTTGCTCATGGACAACCAACTTCCATTACCAGACACAAGCTTACGTGGAATAATGTGCATCATCTTCTCATGGGAAACATCCGGATGGCTGTGGCAGTCTTGTGGAGCGTCGCAGTCTGTGTCTGTGCCATGGCGCAGCGAAGGAAAAGAAGCTGCAGCACCTAGAGCACCTACTTCACTCTGAGGGAGCACCAGCACCGAGATCGTTGACAGAGCTAGCTATGGATACCTTTTTTTAACGCGCATAATGCTATTCTAGGCTTCACGCCGTCCCCAGTCTGATCGACGCTCTTAGCGGCCCACCAAAAAGGCCAATCTTCACCAGAAGCCTTCCAGAACAACTTAGAAGCTGTCTCGTATTGTTTCCACTCTACACACGGTGCACTCGCGAGCCCAGGTCCCCCAGCTTAACGCTTCCAACGGTGGAGAGCAACGTCGACATACGAAGCAGGGGTTTTCCTAATTACCGAAACACGCCAATGCCTGACGTAGACGCTTACAGCCTCGCAAATGTTTCGATAACGTGTATGATACACACAACCACCATATAAACTTTGGTATTCAATCATGGCTCGTTTCTACGGAACTATCTTGAGTCATGCCGACAACCTTAACAACTATCACGAGGCACGACACACCCCCATGGTTAACGGATCCGACATCCCGCCCGCCCGGCCGACTCAGTCCCATCGGGGAGCGTACCCGGAGTTTTTGAGGTGCTTTGCGAGCTGTCCGAGCATACATGATAGTATCATTGTTGATTCAGGCTTTCGCCTAACTCATTGGCCAGTTGGTGGTTCGCTTAGAGACTGGCCGGGCTCTTTTGCCCTGTCTCGCTTTGTTTCAAAACTCACAAGCATCAGTTGACGAGCTCTTTGACCATGCACATTCATGTCACTCAACGATCGGAGTGGCAGGGCATGCCATGCTCTTCAGATTGTGCTAGGGCTTTTGTGCGACCAGTTCGTGTGACGACCTCGTCATACTTCGGCAAATCATTAGAATGCACGGGTTGATGGAACGTTTCCAGATGCTCGGACAAGAAGTTGTCAGTTGCGTGTGACTACTCGCCTCCGGCCCTTTACGGACACTGCCATGCCGAAGAGAGACCGCTCCGTCTCGGCATCGGAGGTAAAGGGCTGACCCCAGTCCCCACCCCTCCGGCCTCCCGCACCGAGATATGTCGGACGGACACTGGGCGTTTGCGGCCGGACACAAAACTGGTTTGGGTCACATCTGCTCTTACGAGCTGCCTTCTTTGCAAGATTGTGCATATTCAAAGATATCGGCCGTTAGTTTGAGGGCGGTTCGCTGAGGCAACGTTGCTGCACTTGTCACTCTTTCGGGTACCTTGATCGAAGAGATGGGTATGTTTATTCAGGCAAGTAAAAGCCAACACGGTAGCAGGCCCAGCAGAGCCGCAGCCGTCAGCCAGAATGATAGAACTATGGGTATGCTCGACTTCGTATCTGAGGAAGACTGGTAGTATTTTGCGATTTTGGGATCCCCCAATGCCCAATCCCATACAGTACGCTCAATGCTTCTCTTGGTCACCTCCACACTGTCGCCAATGGATATGGTCGTATCGCCACCGGGGTTACTGGTTAGAAAGCCGTATCTACCGAAGACTGGAGAATACTTAGATCCAGTATCGACTCTTCGGTCAGACATGAGCTTCTTGAGTACCGTGCCACGCTCCCCTTTGGCAGCACGGCCAGTGGAGTAGTCAACGTTGAGCGAGGTGCATCGTCCGCACATCTTGGTGAGAGCTACTTGATGGGCTCCATTAATGGTCAGTTGTGCCCAAAAGTCCTCATCCCATGCGGTCTCGCCATCCAGAACAATGTTAGGTCGCATAGCCTTCATTTCAACATCGCATGTCGATAGCCGGGCTTTGACGTTGTTGAGTGATTCTTCTGTGGTGAACAGATAGGGCGCACAATCAGTAAAGGTAATCCAATCATCCTCGGTGGCTTTCTTCCCTAAAAGGTGGTTGAGAAGCAGCATTGGCCATGGCGGGGGAGTAGCCTGAGTCTTGGGAGAGAATGTTCCCAGCACAGGGCGCCGGCCATCGCCGATGAAGACGAGCGCTGTGTCGAAACCAAAGCAAGCGGTGAACCATGCATCATATTTGGGACCCATGCGGTATGCAATAACGCGACTTTGATGTAGGCTGACGTCGGCCTTGCTCAATTCAGTGATCTCCGGTTCAATTGGGACTTCAAGGACAGTGTCCTGCTCTGGTTTCCACGGCACAAGTGGTTCTTCTGGAATCAGGTACTTGACCCGGATCTTGTCGCCAACGACTTCTTGTGCGAAAAGGCTGCATTCTGGGTGACCGGACAATTGGATCTTGCTGAATTCGCCCGACTTCTCGATCTTGTAAAGCATAAAACGACGGTCATACTGAAGCCCTTGTGGGCCTAATTTGGCCGACTCGGCTTGAATGCCTCGAAGTCCTTTGATTGGATAGTACCAAAGCTATCATGGGCTATCAGCAAAATTCCAGGACCCCCCACAGAGATTGACGTGAGTGAGGCTTGATCGGACTTACCTGAGTAATCTTCATTATTTGTTGATGTGTTGTTTGACAGTCGGTCAACAGGACAAAGCAACAATGTTTATGTTGTGAAAGGAAGAACTGGATTGCAAATCAGGTACGAACCCCTCGTTGACTAGGTACCTACGTAGGTAAGCCACAGTCAACTCAAGCACTAACTAAAGGTACCTGATTCCTGTTAGTTTTGAGGAGGTGACGCAGGCAATTGAGATAACATGGAATTCGGCTCCCGCTACCGAAGATCTCACACCGCATCTACACATACGTCCAATCACAAACTATTGATTGCAATACACTCTTGGTGTAGATTCGACATCAATTTTAGCTGGACTAACCCGTGGTAACTCATTGAGAGTTCGTATTTCCTTCTTTACATTAACACTGTCTTTCATTGTTTTGTTGCCTCGGTTCCGAGTTCGGAAGACCTCCACTGTCGGAATCCCCCCGCTGTGTTCCGCAACAGACATTACAAGACATGAAAGACAACAGCCATACAAGTGATTCATCATACCATTGTTTCCTCCCTTCTAATTTGACTGATTAACTTGCCAGTCGGATTCGGGCAGCTCATAAGTGTAACTGACATGTCCTCAGCCCTTCAGAGTTGGAGTGGCTGGCGGTAGAGTTCAAGGGCGTCGTTGACATGGCCCTCCACTTTCCGGCATGTGCAATAACACATCACGAAGAGTGAGAAAAGAGGCGTAGCGACCAATTGATAGTCACTCAATTCTATATTTATCGATTTCTTTTGTAAATATCAGGGATAGAGCTGAATCTTAGCCTAGTATATCACAGAGTTGTGAAAAGGAAGATCTTTATTCTTATCTACCTTATACTACAAGGGCATCCAGATACGATATAACTACGCTAGATTCTTCTATGATCTTGACGTTTGTGCAGTGCTCTCGTGAAGTGAGATTGACGATTTCATTCCTCCATGATTACAGGTTATTCACGACTTTAAATGCAGTGCCATTGTGACTTGATTGGCAGATAGAGAGACTTTGCTATGACAGTCAGATCTCGGGGACCTCAACTTCTGCACGTGAGATACAGAGCCTTTCTCTTACACCTTTATCAATACAGTGGCTTCATCTGAAGATTGGAAGGAGGCAGACTTCCTTATCTCTACAACAGCCCACCACTTTCTGAAGCCATAGAATCGTGCTCCATCTGGAACTTGTATGGCCTCATGCGGCTTCGCTACCTTGTGCTCACAGCACGCTGTTTCTGACATTCAATCTGAATCCTGTTACAACCCTCCAGCGCTCGATTTCTTCAGAGCTGCTTATACGGTGAGCAATAAGTTCTCGATTTTTGTCGTCTCAGATGATAATTATGGTTTAATATTCTTACTAGCTTTAGTATCAGTCAGATACATCGCCCAGCCTTCGGGGACCAAGAAAACACTGGACCTTAATATAAGGTGTTAAAATAAACTTAGCAAAAGATATCCTAAGTTTGTACTAAATTTAGGCTTAACTTATGCTAACTTACCTAAGTCTATTTTGACACCTTATGTTAAGGTCCTGAGTTTTCTTTCCTCCCCTAGCCAACCTAACAGTCTCATTATACTCATCGCTGATGCTGAAAGCTTTCTATTTCTCCAACGTCGTAGTCTTCGAAACGACGTCTTTGAGATCCAGAAACACATTCATATTAGAGACACTTCTCTCTCTGGTCGTGTTCGTGAGACTGGCCGGTACTTCGGACGCTGTGCTTGAACACAACCATAGACCATCGATCACTGTCGCACTATGATAGCCTTGGTCTTTATGACAAGTGAGAGGCTTCTCTCGCAGTCATTATCAGTACAGCATATTCTCCTTATTCTTCATTCACAGGACAAGATAAACTTTCGACAGCTTCCCTTTCATGTCCCACAGGACCATGAGTCAAGCAGAATGTCCGTTTCGAGCGTATTGGTAAAATATCCGGCGATGCTTGACGGAATAGCTTCGTTTATAAACATTGGTAATGGCTATTTGCGCAGAATCATAAGAGATACCTTGTTGGTGCTGTGATACACTTGCTATCACAGGCTGTTGCAGTTCTCTCGTGAATCAGCCTGTCGTCCGCAACGCAGAATCGTGGAGGAAGTTGACACTCCCTGCCAGACGCTCGATTTATCTTTCGGTTCTCTGAATCCATCTAACAGATACAGGAGATCTATATTCAAGTGTTTGATCTCGAATGTCGTTGGGCCTCCAGTTCCAGCATTGTCACATATCTCACTGGACCTTAGGGTAAGCTCAGTACTGATGGGGTCATGCAGTTGTATTATGAAATCGCTTCCGGTTCAACACCAATAACTCGAAGGAGATATTGTTGAGCGGCAAGACCAATATGCCTTGGTAGTGTGCGTACAGCTCTCTAACACAGAGGAAGAGGCGCAAGGAGAATACGTAAACCCAACCACTTCATCCAGCGTCGGATTGGCGAGCTGAGCTGCATTGCATATTCCCGCCTCTCCTAAAGATCGGCACTCAAGGTAACATGAGTGCTGACATGACGGTATCATCGCGTCTGGTCGGACCCGAAAAAAGCACATGCCGTGAGCCTCGAGGAAGGATTCATCGTTATCGCTGACACTGCCACCAAGACTGCATGATAGCAATCTTTTTTTGGTCCGTGTCGATCAGAATGGGAATTTGTCTAGGGTTTCATCGATTGATAGCTCCCAGGGACGTTAAAATAAGATGTGGATATTGGGTGAATAAGATCGCGCAGCTAACAAATCCAGCCAAGCATCATCTCACGGCTCGCCGCCATTGCTGACATCTATATTCCTAGCCAGGAGGGTGGCGTCGCAGCGCGAGATGAGACCTTATCAAGCCATTTCCTTGAAACACCAGCTGGTCAGTGACATGGTCATCCCATAAAGGACTTCAGTTGACCAAGTCAGATCAGCCCTACGTCTTCCTTTCATATCGAAATTCGTTTTCGCTAAGCCTTAGCTCCCCACAACTCAGAGGAGTCAGAGCTGAGCAGATGCAAATGCGCCTCGATCTAGGCTTTATCTGGTTTGACCAGGCGCTGACGACCTGCAAGAGCTGCCGCCTCTGATGTAACAGACCCTGGCCTTGTCCTTGTTGTTGAGGCATTGGCTGCTGGCATCGGCAATATGGAGAAAGAGAAAAGAGGCTGACAGCGTTTCTTGGCGTCCCATCGCTAAAGAACCTGGATTCCATATCAAGACATATCATTCAGCACGACGTTGCTTCGTCACAGGAATATGGTCTCTTTCTCGTATAGCCGGCCTGGCCAATGGCGAGATAATCGCTCCGACTCTCCGCTCAGAAGTGACTGTAAATATTACAATATCTTGAAACCCTAGGAGGATTCTCGAGCACCGCCTTTTGAGAATGGATGATACAACCCTGTTCATCCATCGCGGAGACTAAAATCTGACAAGCACTGCCCAAGGTCCATCGCATGAGTCTCATTCAGGCTCCTTGAATGGTAGATCCCAAGTCCGAACCCTGGGCTCGGAATCCCGTATGGATCTCAGGCAATGAATTTCATTTTTTCTTCCTCATTGAGGTTGTAGGATCACAAAGTCCCAGCCAGCTTATAAGATGGAGTACATGCCGCCCTGCTGGCTTGATATGATGAGTGTTGTCGTTATCATTCCTCGTCTTTTCCCACGAGGATACAAGTGAGGTATAGAAAGTCAAGGTTGTCAATAACCTCTACCTTTTTGAGCAACAATTGATACGCCACAATGTCGCTTTCAAGCTATGGCGTCGACGACGCTAAGCTACCACAACAACCTTTCCTTCCTGGTGCCAAGCCCGATACACCAAGCTTCCTCGACACAACTGCATGTCTTTGCGCTCTTCGTGCGCTACCTGGACTCGATAAGCTCGCCGAAGCCGGAGTGAATTTCGATAATGGCCAAGCAGCATGGCAATGCATTGGAAACCAAACACAAGGCGTATACAACATCACAAGTGGAAAATGGTACAAGGCCAAGAATCCCAAGGGTTCACTCGATCTGCCCATGGAAGACAACTCTAACCCTCCTGTCGGAGGTGATCTCGTATGGGACTCCAAGAGCCGTTCTCTTAAGCCATTGAAGGACAAGAACACGCTCACTGTTTACGACCGAGACTGTACTGGCACCAACCGATCGAGCTTCTCGACCAGTTTCTACAGAACCACATATCAGCTTCTTAACGATAAGCTTCCTATTGACGCTGCACCCTGCTGGCGGCCTGGTGCCCTTCCTCTGCAGCTGCAGAACGTGTCTTCCTGGCAGAAGCATGGGTGTAAAGAGGGTTTCCTTTGTAAGTTCACTGACTGGGTTGCTTGAAATCGAAATTGACGTTTTACAGGCCAGAACAACACCATCAATTCACTCCCTCAATCGTGTCCTCCTCTCGAGAAGTGCACAGTTGCACGTCTCTCGGGCATGACTTGCTCATTGAACGGCACAAACGTGGGGATGGGAGTTTTCGAGCCAATTATTTGCCAAGCGGGCCACTATTGCCCCCTGGAGGACAAGGGCATGAAGAAGATTAGATGCCCTGCCGGCTCCTATTGCCAGCCCGGTGCTTCGACTCCAACACCATGCCTATCTGGTAGCAGGTGTCCGGAAGGTGCCTCCTTCGAGAGGTATCTGATTCCTGTGGGCGTTCTGGTCATCATCGATTTCCTCCTCCTTGTCGGTATGTTCGTCTTGATGTTCCGTTCACGATGGCAGAGAACATCCAAGGCTCATGCTGGTGCCCTGAAGAGACACAAGACCATGAGGGCCGTCAAGGCGACCATCACTGGACGCGGATACAAGGAGTTGCCCGAAGACCAAGATAATGAGATGGCTCCAATGCAACCCGGCTACAGTCCTTATTCACCATACGGACAAAACTTCCGAGAGGGGCGCACCCGAACTGGTTTTGAGGCTACTCTCTCGCGTAACAGCGTCTACAGCTCGGAACAAGAGCAGAAAGAAATGGAGGCCAACCCACAGCTCAAAGCTTTTGTTGAATCCATGCGACGAGCAGCTG